CAATCAAGAATCCATCAAATAGGATTTATTTATATACAGGGTGTCTTTTGAACATACAACAAAGTTCAATATGTTTAAATTAAAAAGCCCGTTTTGTGAAAAGTCCGATTCTAAATTTCATTCGAGCTGGTTCACTTTTAAGATCACTTCAACCATTCACGATTTTTTCCCATAAAGTCCCCCTCCTCTTGTATGTCATAATACATATAATCTGTAAAAATTAACTGTATTGTACTATTTATTCCCCGTATGGTGAACTTTGAAAACCCTATGATATTCATTTTTAAATACATTTTTTCATTGTACCTTAAGCAAATAAAATACAAAATCAATTAGAAGGTGAACTTTTACGAGTTTCCAAAGTCCTTTTCTAAAGTTTAAATAAAAAGTCAGATTGTGCCATCCTGGCCCCAAGAATCGATACAATTGGACTTATATACAGGGTGTCCCGTGAAATAACGCTAATACATCGGGAGTTTATCATCGGTTTATCCTACGAATCAAAACTGACTGAAAAGTCTCTTATTGTCTTAAGCACGATTCTCAATTTTATTCAAGATATTTCACTTTTCATGTTACTTCAACCTTTTACAGCTTTTGCCCATAAAGTGAGGTGATTTAACCTTTGAAAAATTAAGTACACGTATTTGAAAGTCATCCGTAGTGGCCAATTTTCCGTAAGCCTCATGTCAGTCAGTTTTTACAGAACAAAGGAAATCTCGCTCACACAAGGACTTGAGAAACACGTAAAAGTTATATTCGAAGAGATTTTCTAATTTATTTAATTCGGAGGACTTTATGTACTAAAGTTGTATCCTTCCTTTCTAGTAGTTAACTCTAACTCATCCTAAAATCCTACCTGTATGTTCGTTTCCATGTTATGTACGGTACCTTAACCTCTCCGATCCATTCTATCCTCTATGGATCAACGGAGCATCTTAGGTCTTTGGTATTCATAATTTTTAGACTTCGCCGAACACTCTCACTCACGCTTACCTTTGCCAACGTTACAACTTGATTGGAGCAATCTTATCTTCAGCCGACATTATTTCTGATCAAATGGCTTCGGTAATTACCACCGCACGGTTCCATAATTTTATCAAGTTGTAGACATCGTGACATATCTAGAATGCAAGGAGTTCTGCCCGGGGTTCTTCTGACGTCTCCCAGGTGTTTGACCGCGTCTAGCCCTGTCTACTGCTGAAACTCCAAATCCTTCCTTTCTAGCACGTACTATCTCATTCTAAAATCTTACTTACCTTATCGTTTCTTTCATGTGGACCTCAATATCTCCGATCTTCTATGGTTGCTTTTCAAGGGAGCATCTTAGATCCGCTACTATTCATAAACGGTAGACTTCTCCCAACACTCTTATCTTTGTTGACGTTGCAGAAACCTAGTTATAACAATCTTATCCACAACCAACATTATTCCTGTCCACAAAATTGGCTTCGGTAGTTACCAATGCACATTTCCGTAATTTTATCAAGTTGTAGACATCGTGACGTCTCTAGAATACACGAGGTTCTGCCCGGGGTTTTTTCACACGTCTCCCTGGTGTTTGACCGCGTCTAGCCCTGTCTACTGCTGAAAGTCCAAATCCTTCCTTTCTAGCACGTACTATCTCATTCTAAAATCTTACTTATCTTATCGTTTCTTTCATGTGGACCTCAATATCTCCGATCTTCTATGGTTGTTTTTCAAGGGAGCATCTTAGATCCGTTACTATTCATATACGGTAGACATCTCCCAACACTTACCTTTGACGACGTTACAGAAACCTAGTTATAACAATCTTATCCACAACCAACATTATTCCTGTCTACAAAATTGGCTTCAGTAGTTACCAATGCACCGTTCCTAGTTTTATCAAGTTGTAGGCATCGTGACATCTCTGGAGTGCAAGAAGTTCTGCCCGGGGTTTTTTCAAGACGTCTCCCTGGTGTTTGGCCGCTTCTGGCACTGTCTACTGCTGAATTTCCAAATCCTTCCTTTCTCGTACGTTCTATCTCATTCTAAAATCCTACCTATCTTATCGTTTCTTTCATGTAATTTCCTGGACCTCAATATCTCGGATCCTCTATGGTTGTTTTTCAAGGGAGCATTTTTGGTCCGTTACTATTCATATACAGTAGACTTCTTCAACTCTCTAACCTTTTCACTTTTACCTTTGTTGATGTTGCAGAAACCTACAACAATCTTATCTACAACCAACATTATTTCTGACCACCATTTTGACTTCGGTAATTACCACTGCACGATTCCATAATTTTATCAAGTTGTATACATCGTGACATAAGTACAGTGCAAGAAGTTTTGCCCGGGGTTCTTCCAAGGCTCATATGATATCCTCTGGCACTAACTCAAATCCTTTCATTCTAGTTCATACTCTCATAAGATCCTGCCTATACTATCCTTTTCTCCATCTGTCCTATCTAACATCTACGCTATTTCTCAAGGGAACATACTAGGACCGTTACTTGTCGTACACCGTAGAATTCCTGAATCCTCCAACCCATTCACCCTTACCTTTGCTGTCGAGCAATCGTCTCTGCAAACCTCGATCCTGTCTTAGAAGTTCCATCACTCCAAGACCACGTCGGAATCCGAGGTTGGTCAATTTCATTTTCAACGATTTACTGGACACTGTCAGGGTCTTCTTAGCCTAAACTGTTTACAATTTTTTTCAACGTTTACTTAAAACAGAATTTGAAAATATTTATGATTCTGGTTTATTGTCATAATATTACTTGTAAAGAAACAATATAAAAATATTAAGCAGTTTTACTATATAAGCCCAAACATGGCGGTGGCTCGGTTGACAGAGTAATTTTGCCCAGGCGGAAAGTAAGATGAAAAGCGAGGCTAAAGGGGCTTCTCCGAGATCTAATCCGGCTTACTTTCCTTTTGGTATGGAATTCTGCTTAAAACGGTGGATTATTGCGACCACCTGGATTTCTTTATTCTGCTCACCAATTCACTGTTGTGTTAAGGTAATTTGTTCAGTTAAAAAAGAACAACCAGAACCGCAACCAAGAGCAGGCGGAGTCGTGGGGTAAATCTGAAATTCATATTTTTTAATGATAAAATATAATCAATCACTCTTAAATGTAAATTGTATTCGGAATCAATTGCCGATCGATCAGGCCTGTTGGCTCCTGCTTATGGGTTAATCACCCTACTTTAAATAGCCCGGGGGTAATTTTCCTCGAGGGGATGAAAGGGCCATCGCACCAAATGTTTCTTTCGTTCTAAGTGAAATGGTTTCCCCTTTTCCGCTCTCACTTTGCCTCTGAGCTTTAACAATTGAAAATTGTCTGCGTTTCTTTTTTTATATTTGTTATCTATTAAATCTTGCTATATGAGGTCTGTCTTTATTTTCTTTTTTTCATCTTAATTTCCGTATTCCTTGAATATGTTCGCGCTCCCGCTTTCTTCCCTTTATTGACTTTGCATCTTTTTAAGTTCCATCTTTCAGTTTAGTTTCAATTTCACTTGTATTTTATTTCGCCCATAAACCAAATTTTTTTAGTCGGCTTAAATAATACTTTTCGGCAAAACGGACTAGAATTTCCAACCTAATTCGTCAGGGAAGCCAAGAATCTGGACTGTTTTTTAAAATAGTTTTGTACTAATACACTATTATACGTCAACAACACGGCTTCACCAAAAGAAAATCCACAGCTACAAATCTTCTTTTTAAAATTTTATTTTAAACTCTTTCAAAGAGAAGTGACAAGTCGATGCCATCTACAATTTTTCCAAAACATCTGACAAAGTTAATCACCCAGTTTTGATAACCAAATTTGCTGTTCATGGTTTCCATGGCTCTCTTAAGTTAATTCTCTTCCTGCCTTACCAATAGAGTACAATATTTTAAATTAAAACCCTATTATTTTCCCTTTTTTTTAATCCTCTGAAGTCTCTCAAGGATCGCACTTAAGCCCCTTTCTATTTAATATCTTCATTAACAATATTGCATCTGCTCTGAATGTCTTTTTTTTCAAACGTTCTCTTATTCCCGTACGACTTCAAAATATTCCACAGAATCCATTGTGAATTTGTTTTTACTATCCTACCTGGAAATGTTGTGCATCATCAACTATATAGCACTGAACATTAACAAATGCAACATTTGTTTTAGCAGACTTGAATCTACCCAGGTCTTCCCTTACTCCATAAATTAGTAAAACTTAGTCAAAAATCCCTTACTCATTAAATAGAGTAAAACTTCTCAAAGATCTTTATATTCACTTCGACCATTCTGTGGTACCACTTCCATAACTGTATCAACCTTCTGGCTAATAGAGTAAATTATTATTCATCAGTGGAGTACTCGATATTCCTCAATCGATATACACACAATAGTAATAAGCTAATCTAAGTTAGGTCGATATAGCAATTCCATAAGTATTCCGTCATCGACCCTAAACACACACGTTTCACCATCGCCTCACCATTCGCGCTAATAAATACACACAATTAAACAAAACATAACCAAAAAATACATAAAACAGTTCTTTATACAATAAAATTAAAAGATGTCCTCCAAAAAGCGAAACTTGCAAGAAAATTGCTACTGTGCCCGAGAACAATTATTAAATTCGGTGGCATGCCTACACGCTCTCTGTAAGTAGCCATAGCATGACAAGCTTCTTTGGGGACACATCGAACAACCTTTCTTTGCATAAGGGGCACCTGCGCTGCTTTGCGCCGTATGTCAACCGCGTATGACTTATTTTTAATCGAGTAAGGACGATTTTACGGCTCATGTTCTCGGTGGGGAGGTTTCTCTATACTATTTTTCGTTGTAAATTGTTACTTTTTTACATTGATTACCCGTTTAACGAAATAAATAAATGGTGTTTTGTTCAATTATTTCGGGTTCGTTGTGCACTATATTAGATTGTTTAAACCTTTTTCTCAGTTTGTAAACAATAAAACATCCAAATGTGAGATATTTTATCAATGTTTTCAACCAATTTCGTTCTTTTTTTCAGGTAGCTGTCAATTAGATTCCACCATGGCGTTCGCAGGGCTGAAGAAACAAATAAACAAATGCAATCAGGTAAGTTGTAAAATATAAGTCAATACAAGACATGTTCTGAAATTATTTATGTACAGTTTTATATAGTCATGCTGACCCGACACAGGTTCACTTATTGTGTCCGTCTTCCCTCCCAGGTTTGTTGTATTACTCTAATTACTCAAATTGCACCATCTTAAGTGAGGCAGTGTTAGTTGAGCGAAGACGGACCCAGTAAGTGACCCTAAGCCGGTTCAGCATGAGTTACCGACTCGCTGACCATCACCCATCATCAACTCTAATTATTGAAATACATTTTGAATTTTGAATTCAACTAACAACAAACACACACACACAGAGAGAGAGAGAGAGAGAGAGAGAGAGAGAGAGAGAGAGAAAGAGAGAGAGAGAGAGAGAGAGTTAGATGATACACCATGTGTATATGTATATACAGGGTGAGTCATTTTTTGACGCACCATTGGAAAATCAACGTGGGTGCGTTTAAATCTGACTCAAGGCCAATTTCTTTTGATTTTAACATTAAAAAAAGGAAGTGAGTCAATTTTCGGTGCACCATAGGAAAATCAACGTAGGTGCGTTTAAATCTGACTCAAGGCTAATTTCTTTTGATTTTAACATTAAAAAAAGGAAGTGAGTCAATTTTCGGTGCACCATAGGAAAATCAACGTAGGTGCGTTTAAATCTGACTCAAGGCTAATTTCTTTTGATTTTAACATTAAAAAAAGGAAGTGAGTCAATTTTCGGTGCACCATAGGAAAATCAACGTGGGTGCGTTTAAATCTGACTCGGCACATTTTATTTTGTTAGTCTCGTACCAAAAAATAGGCGAGTCACTTATCGACGCACCGTTACAAATTAATTTTAGTAGGTTGCAAGGAAAATAAACAAAACCAATATTATTAAAACATTATTCAAACACAATGTAAAAATTAAAAAAAAAATTCTTCACAAATTAATTTGATTAAGGTTTAAGAGTATTTTTTTCTAGTAAAGAAAAAAATTAAATAAATATAAAAATCTCCTTTTTTCCGATAAAGTAAAAAAAAAAAAATTAAATAAATGTAACAATCTCCTTTGTTAGCAAATGAAAAATGTTCAAAATCATTATAATAATTGTTCGAACAGACCTCCATTTGCTGCAGCACACTAGCCTAGTCTATCGTAAAACGATGATCGGACGAAAAAAATACTCTTAATCCTTAATCAGATTAATTTGTGAAGAATTTTTTTAAATTTTAACATTGTGTTTGAATAATGTTTTAATAATATTGGTTTTATTTATTTTTCTTCCAACCAAAACTAATTTGTAACGAATGGTGCGTCGAAAAGTGACTCGCCTATTTTTTGGTACGAGACTAACAAAATAAAATGTGCCGTGCGTCGAAAAGTGACTCGCCTATTTTTTGGTACGAGACTAACAAAATAAAATGTGCCGAGTCATAATTAGATGCACCAACCTTGATTTTCCTATGGTGCGCCGAAAATTGACTCATTTTCTTTATTAACGTATTAATCAAAGGAAATAAGCCTCAAGTCAGATTTAAACACCCGCGTTGATTTTCCAATGGTGCGTCAAAAAATGACTCACCCTGTATATGGGTGGGCTATATAAGTCCACCCATTTAATTCGGAAATGATTAAATTTAGTGAAAAATGGTCTTATACGAACCTCTAGTTTATTTTTGGCTAGGAATCGTGTGGTGCTAACAGATTTAACATAACTTTCTTCCCTAGCTGGGATATGACACTATCTTTGTTATTTTAAATGATAATCCCATATTTTTAATGTACGGTTCGATTCTAGAGCTTATTTTATGCCACTTTTACCGAAAGGAAATTTTTTGAAAGGATCGACCATTTCTGAGTTATGCCCGTCGAATTTAATAGCTTTACAAGGTCACTCGAGGGCGATTTAAACCTTGTATATTAGTGGGAAAGTGTTATTAACTTATTGTCATTTTATTGAGTGTGTTTAAGTGAGAAATGAATAAGGCAATCTGATGTGTGTAACTAGAATTTTTGGCTTAATAAAATTTAGCGTGATGGTGAAATTCGAGTGAGAATCTACCAAATAACAATACAATTAAGTAATAAATAAACTTACCCTCTAAAAAGCTAAAAGATCCAGGCACATGTCCTGCAAAAAGCCGAATGGAGTAAAAACTGGCATGTATAGAAGAAGAAGAAGAAGAAGAAAAAATAACTTTATTCTGGGACTGGTGCCCCCTTAGAATAATATACATGACATAAATAAAGGAAGTTCCTTCTATGAAATTAAACGTAAAATGAGATAGAAATCTTGGCACAATGTATACCAGTAAGGCCAGAAGAGAAAATTACAAGAATATTAAACAAAAATATCAAATATTAACGTAAGGTCTCTGCTTGGGGTGAGAGGAGGTGATTATACAGATGGGATTTAAAGGAGGAATAATAGGCAGCGTGACGAATAGAAAGGGGAAGGGAGTTCCAGAGTTTAGGGGCTCGGATCAGAAAGGATCTTTCGAAGGTCTGGGTTGTATGTTGCGGAAGGGTAAGGTCGATTGGGGATGAGCGGAGTTGAATTGGAAGGATTGGGTGATGTAAGGTGGACGACGAGTGTGGATGGACTGGAAAAGAAAGCAGCCTAGGAAATACTGCGCACGGACGGAGGGGAAGAACCAGGAAAGTTGGGATACAACCCCGACACCCGGGATCCCCGTGGGGTGCCGTACATAATCTGCTTCAATCGCGCGTTTCCCCCCTCCGAGAGACCACATAGCTGTAATCGAGGAAGGAAAGTATAAAGGAAGGTACAAGGAGTTTGCGAGTGGAGAAAGGTAAAAGAAGGACCGACGAAATAGGCTGAGGGAGGCGATACAATGGCGGGAAATTTGGGAAATATGAGGATGCCAGGAAAGGTTTTGGTCAAAGACTACTCCTAGGTTTTTAACTGAGGAGTAGAAAAGAATGGGATGGTTATTTAGGATGAGAGGTGGGATGCTCGGGAGGGAATTGAGGAGTTGACTGGACTCGATAATTATGGCGGTGGATTTTGACGGATTGAGGATTAGGGAATTTTTATGTGCCCGTTTGTTGATGGAGTTTAAGTCTTTTTGAATCTTGGGAATGGCCGAGTGGAGATCAGAAGGGTGGAAGGATATGTATATTTGGGAGTCATCGGCATATAGGTTATAGTTACAGGACTGGATGGAGTCGGGCAGGTCGTTGATATAGATGGAAAAAAGGATAGGAGAGATGCTAGAGCCTTGGGGCACCCCAGATTTTAGTGGGAGCAAGGAGGAGGTAAGGCCATTGGGAAGGGTGGCGCTTGGTAAGGTAGGAGTGGAATCAACGGATGGTGCTGGCGGAGAAGGAAAAAAATTCGAGTTTAGAGAGGAGAGAAGAGTGAGGGACAGAATCGAAGGCTTTGGAAAAATCAAGAAGGACAAGTATAGTAACTTTCCGTTGGTCCATTGCTAAGTGGAGGTCACGGGTAAAATATATAGCTTAATTAAAGCAAAAAGCACCCGTGTATCATTCGAAAGCAAAACACCATCATACAATATTCCTCATCCTCCCATCCCAAAAACAGACTGCGTTTTGTATCCATTTAGACTTAAGACTAACCTAGCCTACAAGACAACACTAAAATCAATCTGGACGTACAGCTTAGAACCTAGAACTGTGCGGCTGAAACTTCCAACATGTTACCACCAACCTTACAACATATTACAGCCCTTACAATCCAAAGTCCTCAGAACAGTAGTCAACGCTCGTTACTACGTCTCTATCACCATGCACAATGACCTCAAAATTCACAAAACACTTCCTTTCAACAATCTCCTCTCATCCTAATCGAGTTGACCAATCCTTATCGAATAGAAACCACCCGTATAATACCCCTAACCATCTGAAGAGATGGCCTCGCGACCTCCTAAACGAGGTTTAGTATTATCTGTCAGTGAAGTAGAGAAATACCAAATTCTTTATCTACAGCTGCCAAAAAACCCAAATTAATATTTTTACGAGGTAATATATGAGGACGAAAACTCAGTCGGTATTTCAAGAAATAGGCCAGTTAGTATTTTAACGTTTTACTTTGACCTTTTTCGTTGTTCATAACATCGGCGAATTTGCCAAAATTTAATTAATCAGGTGGGAGTACAATTAATTAATAATTTACACACGTGTACACGGGAATACAGAGAAATTAACTTGACTCAAAGCACCACAACGGCCCAAGTTCAGACTAGATCCGGTATAACTTCCTTCGAAATGGACAAACAAGCGAAATTCTGGGAAACTTCCACCATCGGACGAGGAGAAATGTTTAAACTTGGCGAGACCAGAGGGACCTGGCCAGTGTCGAAAAAATTTGCAAACTAAATAACAATTAAGAGCTTGTGGAAAAAAACTGCGATTTTTTTAACAATTTCAACAAATTAGGGAGAATGTTTTGCAATTTTTTTGTTCAAGCGATTAATATGACGAGGGGAGTAGATTAATTAAAAACAAGCACAAAGACGCGCGCGCGCGCACACACACCAATAACTCGCCTATCTATCTCAATCTATCATATTTGGATATTTAACACAGACACACAAATGAGATTATGGAAAGATGGCCGTTGGAAAAGAATAATTGTAGAAAAACAGCGAGAATATCCGGACCATACGATGTCTGGATGAAAGTACAAACAATTTACAAACAAAGAATCAAAATTCAAATTTCAGAACAATTTGATAAGTGAACTTCGAAAAAAAAAAAAAAAGAAGTCTAATATCTTACGTTCAATACAATGTTGGGTAATTGGAGGTAGAAGTAATTGATATAGTTTCGAGGAGGAAGGAAGCAAACCGACGATAACTTCGGACCAAATACAAGAACATGGACAGATACAAAACAATTAACTTACTTAAAACACCGTCACAACGGCCTAATCTCCCAAAAACATTGCATCTCATTTGATTTGAACCTTTAAAAAGGACAAAAACACGAGACACAATTCCTAGATTCAACCATTGAACAAGGAGAATTGT